TTCAAGTTTTAAGATCAACACTTAAGAAAATTTATTTCCTTAAATGCATTAAATTAATGTGAGAAATGCTTTTTTAAAATTATTTTAAAAAATAAAAAAATTAATTTGAGAACATCGTAAAAAAAAAAAAAATTCCCTAATGGGAGTCAAATATTGTGCCCAGACTTTCTAGAATTTTTACTTTTGTTCTACCTAAATAGTAAATAGAAACGCATTAATGCTGTACCACAAAGTCAAGTTTCATATTCGGGTGCATGTAATCAATGCCTTAATATGAACAGAACAAGGACTTTCCATGAAATGGCGAAAAAAAGGACTTGCATGAATATATATGAATGTTTTGGAAATGGTATGAATATTTAATATAAAAGGAAGAATCATTTAATTACGAGGACCATAAAAAACTTTAAAAAGGAATATGTTGGTAGGTGGTCCTCCATTGACATGTTGTTTAATTCTTATTTTTATTTTTTAAGAAAAATAGATATCTTCAGGTTTGTGATATTTTAAACAAAATAGGTATAATTTTTTGAATATTCTAACAAAATAATTTATTAATGGGGTTAATGTTTGTCCGCCTTACTTCCAAAAAGTTAAGAAGAAAAAAAAAATTACCTTAATGCATGTTTTAAAAATAGAATAGTTTAATCTTTTTTAATAAAAATTTATTGAAACGACGTAGTTTGAGAATGATTTCCCTCTTAATTTTTAAGAGGTAAGGCTGAGAGGCACTTTTTTCTTTATTAATAAATAAATAGTACTTTATAGATTAAATTTGATATTCAAGTTTTAAAGTCATATTTATCAAAATTAATCTTTTTAAATGTATAAGACATGTGAAAAGAATAATTGTTCTTAAAATTACGTAAAAGAAATTTCAAAATATACCAAAATTGAGTCAAAACCACTCTATTCAATCGTGCAGATTAGAAAAGTAAAAAAAAAGAAATCATGTGCAGATGTGAACATTATTTTGTTTTTTAATTAGGACTTCTAGGTGTCCAGACTAACATATTCAGTTTTCCATAGTTGTTCGATCTTTGAATGTACCTCCAAATTTGATTCAATTTTGTTCGACGAAGACCTACTCTTAATTTCTTCGTCATCCACCAAATGTCAAAATGCACCTTAATGAGGTTGGTCCTGCAACGAAAGGCAGAATTGACCTCTTTTATTAAGCGGCTAGCACGTAGCTTCTTGCCTGGTCCCGTTCACACTGCCAATTTTTCTCTTCTACTTTGTCCCTCTTGTCAACTCACTCGGCCCACCTTACTGTGCATAACAATCAATCATTTTATTTGGTGATAAAAGTTATATTTTCCTTCTTAATTATAGGTTTAAAATTTAATTTTTAATTTTTACATATTAAAAAAAATTTTATATATATAGAAATTTTTTTTCAATTACTATTCTTTATATATAGTAAGGATTTATTTATATATAAGTTTTATATATTATACTTATATAAAATTTTAATAATTTATTTTTTCATTTTCAATGGATGAGATTTATTATGACTTTTTAAGAAAAAAAATAATTATTTATAATAAAAATAAATAAATATCAATCATTAAAAATAAAAAATAAATTATTGAGATTTTGTATATAAGTATGATATGTAAAACTTATATATATATAAATCTTTATTTTATATATATAAACAATTAAATCAAATTACATGCAAAAATCGAACTCGGATAAAATTTTTTTCAAAGTAAAAGTACATAATAGATAAAAACTTAATTCAATTTAAAGATTTAATGTTGATAGGGATTGAGAAAGATGTGGCTATGTATTCCGATTGCATACCTCAATTCTAGATGAACTCAAGGGAAAGACTTGCAAAATAAGGTAACTAATTTTCCTTTCCTTTTTAATTTCCGTTTCCGTATTATTATTACTCAGTGCATCAAAGAAATTATTTTTGTACAATTTTTTTATCTCAATTTTTTATATAATTTAATGTGTTATTAAAATAATTAATTCTTTTAATTCATGTGAGATCTATAATATTAAATGCATCTACTTATTTAATAATATATAAAAATTATATAAAAAAATAATGTAAAAAAATTATTCTTATAACACCAACCGTTCATCAAATCATGTTGGATTAAGTATCCAAACTTAAATCACGCTTTTTTCACAATGACTTTTTCTAAACTGATTGGCCAACTTATTACCAAAGAGTCAAGCAACTTGACTTGACCTAAGCTAACCAATTCAGGTTATGACTCTGTCTATATATATTATGGTTTCATTCACACAACACACAAACTGAAACCTTAATTATTCTGCTTCTTTCATATGTATTGCACCAGCAAGAGGACATCAAGATCATGAACAGCACTACTACTTATCATCGACAAGATTCTTCATGTGATAACAAGAAGCTTGATGCTGATGATGGTCAACCGCTTCCGGGGTTTCGATTTCATCCCACAGATGAAGAGCTCCTAGCGTTTTATCTCCGACGAAAGGTCGAGAAGAAACCTCTCCGGATTGAACTCATCAAACAGATTGACATCTACAAATATGATCCATGGGATCTTCCAAGTATGTTCTATATATCACTTTCCTTTTTTTTTTTTTTTGTTCAAACAAAGATAGCTATATATGAATTCTTCACTGTTCTTTTCTCTTTTCTAGTTTTTAATCCTTTGGGTATTTAAATTTGTTTTTTGATATTATGAGATTTGTTATTATTTATCGATCTCAAGCTAGCCATAGATATATATGATTTTGTTTTATAAACTTAATGGTATAATGGTGGAGTGAGGTTAGAATTTCATATTGAAAAAAAAATTAAAAAGAGTTATGACTTACAAAAATAGGATCAAAACCCAATTAAGCATATCTCATCTCAGAAAATACAATAGTAGTTATCAATAAAATTTGTAATTTGTAATGACAAGAAGAAATTTAAAGCACTAATTTGGTTAATTAATTTATCATTTTTGGTTACAAATTA